GCACTACAAGTACGGGAGGCCTGTACTTTAGTTTTGACTGCACCCAAGGCATTGTCAGAAAGTGCTGATAAAATGCGCCTCGTGAAGTACGGTTATTTCCTATCATTAACAATTTTGCTTAATCCAGGGTCTCAGATTACATTTCTTTACGGTTAAACATTCTCAAAAAAACAGACTTGATAGCCACTGCCAATGTCTGAAAAAAACCGGGCTCGTAAGGGGCTGTACATACGATTTTTCGGAGATCACTCTCCCTTATACCTACTTGAATTTAAACAAAACGAACACCCATGTCCCAAAATTCGAATGATAAAGGAAGTATTTGAAAATAAAGACTATTTCTCAACAAATTTACGCAAAGGTCGTGAATCTGTTTAGAAAAACCTTTGTAATAAGAGGAAAAAGCGTACTTAGAAAGGGGCTTAGTCACACTTTTTCCGCTTCAGACTACTTAGACTTTCAAAAAAGCCGAAACGGCAGTGGGAAATTCTTAAGTGGCCGAGATTGTCCAGTACTACGTAGGAAAGGGAAACATCATGAAAACCAACAACAGACAAAAATCAACTCCTCGTGGACAAAGTAAGGCAACCGTGGTTTTGGGCGAAGCAGACTGCGTTGACAAAATTTTACTGAAAGATAGGTAGGCCCCCTACTACGGACGTTGCCCAGGCACAGATTTCATTAACTGACAGTGTTTAGGCGTCTTCAATGAACTAAAATATTGTGAAGGTACACTGCCATTCTCGAAACAAACAGTCGACCACCGAGAAAGTCGATGGACTCCCTGCAGTCCATAATACTGACGAGACCAGATTGGTGAGCGAGCTCTCCCTCGCTTTAGATATCTGCGGAAAACTGATGTTTAGCTTAGACTTTCGTGCCTATACAGAAAGAAAGGCGCTGACGCATAGGTAAATCTCCAGAATCTCAAAGTAACTACTATATTTTCTTCCTCACCCATCAACACATTCGACTTAGTGCTCGGTTTGGGTTTCGACCCACCTGTGTACTTTGCCGAACTGGCCCTTGATTAGACAACTGACTAATAACCACAGTCACCTCCATCTACCTATCTATCAACCTTACGCACGACTGTAGCCTAATGTTTTCTGAACAGACGGAAAGTAGTCATCCATACCCATCTGGTAACATTTTCAGGAATCCAGGACGATGTGGATGCACTAAATGACCCCATTTTTACAGCGCTGTCCAAAGATACGAATTTTGCACAGCACTGGATCCTTACACCCGTCGGGCCAAAGTCAACTGTGGCAGCAATGCTTAGGAGAAAATGTGTGACAGCGATGCATGTGAATAGCATTCAGGCCAACGATAGAGTTCAAATATCAAACACGCCGCAGCAGTAAGTATATACCCACCTTTTATGAACACATTTCCTTTTGAGTCCATTCGGAGGTCCAGCGGTTTGCGGCTCAACTTTGATCGTTGTGTGTTGGCATTAGAAGAAATAAACGAGGCTACATCTGGATCAAGTAGGTCATAAGCAGTCTCGTTGTAAAGCTCCGCAAAGCTAATCCAAAAATGAAAAGAGACTGCCCCCTTGCACGCAAAGTCCACAACTGGTGACTGAGGCTTGTCTTTGTCTGACAACAAGAGAATTTTTGAGGACTGGAATTCCAAAAATACAACAAAATAAACGAACTACCTCAACAACGCTCGCAGAAAGTTGCAACAGCATGCTCTTCTCTCGGTTCTTAGAGGCACTCTCGGGCTGGGACAATTTTGCAATCTCGTCATAGCCCCGTATTGTGCAGTTCACGTTAGGAGCGACTTGTGTGCTGTTAAAAATTGCAGCCAACGAGCGTGGGACGACGCCAAAATTATCTTGAGAACCTTACGAAAATGTAAGGAGACAAACAAGCGGTACCATGCAGTGTGTATGTTTTGCCCGAACTTGTCGTGCCGTAAGCAAAGACGAGGGAGTTTGTCCCTTCGAGGAATTCGCGAATGCGGTCGGCAGCAACCATGGAAAATATTTCTTCTTGGCTGCTGGTCTCGCAGAAAACGTGTGAAAACTCAAATCGGTGCGACTGTCCGAAGACTGGAGCTAAATTTTTAGGTCCACTCGCGGAAGAGGTTGAGTTGAGGATGACGGCCCTTTCGCTCTGACGGAAAACCACCTTTGACAAACTACATAGACAGTACCTAAGTCTTACCTTGTCGCCAGATTCTGAGGCGACTGTTGGTCGAATTCTCAAGTACACGGGCAGGTGCTGTTCTTCAAATTCATTTAAGAGGTTTTTGTTAAGGTTAGAAAACCGAAAATTTGGGTGTAAGCCGAATGAAGGAGCCCGCGGCAACACAAACGACAAACAGCCATCACCCGCCGACATTTCAACTGAAAAAACCGCCCGGGTTCAATGTGTGCTTCTTCAGAGCAATAAAACGATGGGGCATGCTGGAGGAGTTCAGAAAACATTCTGACAAAGGATATCGACAAGCATGCAGAACTCGACTCATCGACTAAGTACCTTTGTGAGGCCCTAAAATAGAGCAAAACAACGTCTCCTGGGCTTTCCTAAACTATGCATTTGCTTTCGCGAGGACGGTAAATGGGAAGCTACTCGATTCGTAAGTTGATATAGTGGGCACACTTATTCACCAAGCGAACTATTTCGAGACTTCTTAAACCAGTCTTACATTAGGAAACTATCAGCAGATAATTGTATCTATGGATTGGCGAAATGATATGCTGAGTGGCAGAGAGTAGCTTTGAGAGGAGCCTTCATGCAAAGCTCGAATTTGTGACTGTTGTCGTTACTGATCGTTTCGCTCTCCACTATCTCGTTTTTGTATTTGAAGCCTATGCTCAGTGATATTTTTCATGAAACGGACTATCGATGGTTTTCCTCACTGACGACAGGCCGATTTTCTGATCCAAGGGGTTCTTGTCCGGGTTAATTAATTCTGAAAGTCTCTATCATCCTCACCTGAATAACTGTGCTGTCAAATGGATCGGGCTGAGTGGAGACCCATACTCCAACCAAAATACTGTTAGGTAGGTTTCTCATCCCTTTGTTCGACTCTTTGATGTTGGTCTAATAGTCAGCCTGAAGATAACAACTGTACCGTGGAATGTGGAAAATAGAAAGTTAGAACTTGCCAGCTTCCTGAGTCTTGGTATTGCTCACACGTTTCTTTTAACAAACTACCTGTCGACATATGAGTCAATAGCCTGAGGTTTTTCGGTAAAATTTTATGCAAGAAAGAGCCAGATATAACGGCTTTACTGAGGGTTGGAGAGCGCACAAGCCACTCGGCAGGAAGGGGCAGCAGCTATTTCCACCAGCTGCGTTAGCCATTTAATTTGTTCCCCCGGAAGTGACCAGTGTGCATGTGTCTGTGCCCAATTTTTGTGCAGCTGCGAATAGGCCATAAAGACAAAAACACTGTTTGGCTAACGAGGTCTGCGAGTCTAAAGCTGAGTTCTAAGCACGCAATGGTTGGCAGGCGTGGTAGGCCGACCGATAGCGACATGGATAAACTGGCGTAATGACGACCAGGAGGCGGAACGCCATGTATCCATAAATTTCAAATTTCATGTTTTCAGATCGGCCATCGAACCATGAACGAAGGGAAGGGAATTCAGAATGAAAAACTCGTCGAGAGTTCAGTGAGATTTCTGTGTGATTTACATAGGTGAAAAAAATAGCCACATGAACGGGTGTGGAGATGAGGGACAGACTCACTGAGAGGGTAGAGCCTTTTTATAGCTCGCGGTCGTAAAAAACGCGGAACCTTAGTGTATTGACTCGAAATCGACGCCTAAGGCGACTACAAACTTTTTAAATGTGCCATGGGTGAAAAAATGACTTTCCAGATTAGAAGTCGGGGAGGTAAAGTAGGTTGGACAGTCTCTACGCAGCCAGGGAGCGTAGACGCGGTTTAAAAGGCAACAGTGGCAATAGCACGGCCAAGCCGATGGCCAGCCATCGATGTTTTTAGGCGAGTCGCAAGTTGCGTTCTTTCACCGTAGTCCGTAGGCGAGCCGAATGATGAGTCACACACGGCTCAAGCAGGTGGTTCGTTCGCAGTCGCCATTCCGAGTAGACTGGCAAGCATTTATCATGTGCCCTGTGTACTATGGACGCAGACGTCTTTGTCTGGTTCCAATCGGAGTAGGGCTGGATGCGAATCAGACGCGTTATAATAGATGCGCGTATGGAGGTTTGGCTGCGGGTGACCTAGGATGAGATGGACAGGAGGGGAAGGGCCGCATCCCGTCTAAGGGAACGGAATCCCGGTGACAGTAGGCGGCAAGCGAAACAAACTCAACATAACCAGTGTGCGTTACGAGCTTTGGCAATTTTTGCGAAAGAGCTTTATGAAGAACACTGTGTTTCCTGAAGGTCACGATGTTTGGATTGCAACATATAATTTATGACGACAGACTGTGGCGACCAAACAAAAGTACCTAATTAATGTAATGAGCAAAAAAGACTGGTTTCCAGATGACCGTCAAATATAAGTGTTCGGCGGCTCGCAATGGGGCAGTGACAAAAGCTATAATGGTTGGTGGCATATCGTTGAAGCTCGAACAATCCTTTTTCGATGTCGTAGAGAAGTTTATTTGGAGAGAACGAGTCTGGTTAAAAAAAAGTTGATCGAGTCGCTTTAAATATAAATGCCCAGTTTCCTCTTTAGAACGTATGGTCTACTTGATGACCCAATATCGACTGAAATGTCGCACGTAAGGAACGTATGTCTGTTAGCAGGATGCGCGATGTTCAGTTGCGGGTCCACGAGACGGTCGTAGCAGGTTGCCTTGCTTGCCTACAAGTGTTGTCTACGCCTAGCGTTTGCCAAATTGCACCCGACTCTCATTTGCGGTTCCCCGAAGTTGGGCTCTGCATTGCGGCCCTACTCCGGTAACAGCCTTTATCGGCGAGCTAAACCATGTGAAGGCGTCCGGGCTTGGGAGAATCTCCACACAGAAGACAAATGCTGGGTCCATGACACGTGCGTGCAGACCGTAGTGCATGGACAAAAAACACACGGTCGAAACCATCAAAGAAGAAACTATACTCTTTCTCCTCACTCCTCCTCCTCCCCGCGCCCCAATCAACAGACTCGAAGGGTGAGTCCGCTCACTCTGGCGGCCTATAATATTCGTTCCCTTTTAGACAGTGTGAGGAGCGACAAACAAAACGGAGGATGACGCTAGTGGCTCGGGAAGTGGCGGGCTACAAGGTGGACATTGCGGCACTCAGTTAGACGCGGCTCTCCGAACAATATAAACTGAAGGAAGTGAGTGTCGGCCACAACTTCTTCTGGAGCTGTCGTCCCAAGGCAGAACGACGCGATGCTGGCGTCGCCTTTGCCATCCGGAACGACATAGTGGGACGACTGCCCTGTCTGCCGCAGGGCATCAACAATCGCCTGATGAACCTCCGTCTGCCTCTCCAAGGAGGCAAATTCGCCAACATCGTCAGTACCTACACTCCCTCGATGGCCAGCCCGGCGACTGCAAGGAACAAATTCTACGAGGGCCTGAACGCTGTCCTGGCGATTGTGCCGAAGGCGGACGAGTTAAGTGTCCTTGGTGATCTCAACGCCCGCGTCGCCACAGACCATGCGACATGGAGAGGAGAGGTTTCGACGTCTCCAATGACAATAGCCTGCCCCTCCAACGAACATACGCAGAACACCGTCTCATCTTGACTAACACCTTCTTCCGTCTCCCGTTGCGAGAGAAAGCTACCTGGATGCACCCTTGGTCGCGACGGTGGCACCCACTGCATTATGTCCTCATCCGAAGTCAAGACCAGCGGGACGTGCTGGTGACAAAAGCGATCCGGGTGTCGACGGATAAACCAGCCATCGTCTCGTCATCTTGAGGATGCGAATTCGCTTACAACCTCGCAGAAGACTCCAAGGTGATGACGCCTGGTAGGCTGAACATTGTTTTGTTGTTTTTGCCTGCTCCCCATCTCCATTTCAGCAATGAATTAGCCAGCATTTCAGTCGATGCCACCGCCGCTGCCACCGACGAGAACGCCTCCGTGGAGAACCGATTGTGTCAACTCAGGGGCAAAGTTCCGTCAACTGTCCTGGCTGTCCTCGGCCGCGCACTTCGTCAACATCGAAATTTGTCCAACGATAACGACGTCGTCATTAGCAGTCTGTTCGCTGAGAAGAGTCGCCTGCACAAAGCTTATGTCAATCGCCCTACGGACGAAAACAAAGCAGCCTTCTAGCGTTGTCGTCATCCTTTACAACAGCGGCTGCGGAAATTGCAGGACGCATGGACAGCTCGGAAGGCCGAGAAGATTCGAGGGTGCGCGGACCACAACGAATAGAAGAATTTCTTAGTCGCGGTCAAGGCTGTCTACGGTTTTACAGACCAAGGCCCCACTCCTCTCCTCAACGCCGATCGTAGAGCCCAACTGATCGTGAAAATACAAATTCTTCAGCGATGGTCTGAGCACTTCAGAAACGCCCTCAACCGTCCCTACACCATTTCCGACAACCCCATAGCCCGTCTGCCTCGAGTTGTGACCAACGTTAACCTCGAACTCCCGCCCTCTGTTTACTAAACCATCAAAGGCATTGCGGCTTCCGCCATAATCTAGGAACCACTGACACGATTTTCGCCGTCCGCCAGCTGAAGGATAAATGTCCGGAGATGCATTCGCTGTGACCAACGGAGTGAAGCAGAGCTGCGTCCTGGCGCCCACCCTCTTCAGTCTCATGTTCTTTGCTATGCTAACGGACGCCTGCCGTGGCGAACGCCCCGAGATCCGCGTCACCTGCAGGACTGGTGACCAACTCATCAATTATCGGCAGATGCACTTCTAGTTGTGTGCATCCGAAACTGCCGTCCATTACCTTCAGAGCGTCGATGACTACGCTCTCAACGCCACCTCCGAAGGGAACATGCAAAGGAGCATGAGCCTCTTCGCCTACGCCTATGACAGCTTCGGCCTAATCATCAACACAGAGAAGACGGTGGTTATGTATCAACCGCCACCCGACGCTGCCTACGTTGCACCCCAAATCAGCGTGAACGGCACCCAACTGTTAGCCGTGGATGACTTCACTTACCTGGACAGCACCCCGCTCGAAACATCAAAGTTGACGAGGAAGTGGCCCTGTAGCCCCCGCCGTCTCGCGCCTACACGTCTTGCTGCCGCCAAGGCCGAATTCGTGCACATGCTTCAAATGGGCATCATCCGTCAGTCTGAAAGCCCATGGGCCTCACCCCTCCACATGGTTCCAAAGGCCGCCACTGGTGACTGGCGCCCCTGCGGTGATTACAGGGCCCTGAACAGCGTTACTGTCCCGGACCGCTACCCTGTCCCACATCTTCAGGATTTTGCCGGTGCCCTATTCGGCAAGTCTGCATTCTCGAAGATCGATCTGGTCCGTGCTTTCCACCAAATTCCCATAACCCCAGAGGACGTTTCGAAGACTGCCGTTACCACCCCCTTTGGCCTTTTTGAGTTCCTGCGCATGCCGTTTGGACTTCGCAACGCCTCCCAAACCTTTCAAAGGTTCGTAGACAGAGTGCTTCGCGGCCTACCATTTGTCTACGCCTATATCGACGACCTTCTGGTAGCCAGCTCCACCGCCGAAGAACACATGGAGCATCTGACAACGGTGTTTGACCGCCTCCAACAATTTGGCGTTGTTCTCAACCCGTCAAAGTGCGTCCTCGGTGTGTCCTCCCTAGAATTTCTCGGTCATCTGGTCGACTCTCACGGCATTCGGCCTCTTCCCTCAAAGGTTGCCGCCATTCGGGACTTTCCATCCCCTACCTCGAAGCGTCAGTTGCAACGGTTTCTTGGTCTGGTGAACTTTTATCGCCGGTTTCTCCCAAACTGTGCCGACACCATCCTACCTCTGACCAATCTCCTCTCTGGTTCTAAGCGCACCTTTGAACTTACATCAGCCGCACTCACGTCATTTGAGCAGGTAAAAGCCCTTCTGGCTGATGCCACCCTCCTGACTCACTTTCACGCTGATGCACCCATATCTTTGATGGTCGATGCCTCCAATGTTGCTGTTGGCGCGGTTCTTCAACAAAGTCTGCCGGATTCTACCGTGCCTTTGGCTTTCTTCTCCAAGAAACTATCCAAGGCCGAAACTCGCTACAGCACATTCGGACGTGAACTTCTCGCCGCTTATCTTGCCGTAAGGCACTTCCGGCACTTACCCGAAGGTCGAGAGTTCACAATTTTCACTGATCATAAGCCACTCACGTTTGCAATACATTCCCACTCTGACAAGCTAAGCCCCCGGGAGATCCGTCACCTGGACTACATTTTGCAGTTCACTTCAGACATCCGCCATATTGACGGGTCACGGAATGAGGTGGCTGACGCACTCTCAAGGCCCTCCATTGCTCATCTTCAGCTTTCACCCGGGATAGACCTCGCTGAGATGGCCGCTGAACAACGCCGTGTCTGTCCACCCTGTGATGAGGATGTTTCCGGACTCCAACTTCAGGAGCTACCACTGACAACTGGCAACGGCACTATTCTATGCGACGTATCCACCCCATTCCATCGTCCATTTGTGCCCCCATCCCTCCGCCGTAAAGTTTTCTCCTCCCTGCACAATCTCTCTCACCCTGGGAGTCGAGCAACCGACAAGCTGGTTTCCGACCGCTTCCTCTGGCCTGGTATGCACAAGGACCTGAAAGCATGGACACGGGCGTGTCTCGGCTGTCAACGGAATAAGGTCCGACGGCAAAACAAAACTCCCATTGGCTTCTTCCCTACCCCGGACGCACGGTTCAGTCATATCCATCTGGACATCGTAGGCCCCCTGCCTCTGTCCAATGGCTGCTTTTATCTCCTTACCTGCGTGGATCGATTCACCCGGTGGCCGGAAGCTATTCCACTACCTGATGTCGCAGCTCCAACGGTCGTCAAGGCTTTCCTCAGTCGTTGGGTTGCCATTTTTGGTGCTCCCTCCATTATCACGACTGACCGTGGTGCCCGATTTGAATCTCACCTCTTCCAGTCTTTACTCTCATTTTTAGGCTGTACTCGCATCCGCACTACAGCCTATCATCCAGCAGCCAACGGGATGGTCGAGCGGTTTCACCGTCAGCTGAAGGCCTCCCTACGCGCCGCAGACGATCCGGAGAACTGGACAGACCACCTCCCCCTAGTCCTCTTGGGCATTCGCTCCTCCCTCAAGTCGGACCTTGATTGTTCTGCCGCTGAACTCGTGTTCGGTGCCACCGTCCGACTTCCCGGTCAGATGATCTCGCCAACCCCGCGAGTTGCAGTTGAGGATCCCACCAACCTCCTGCATCGCCTCCGGCAATTCTTGTGGACACTTTCTCCGTTTCCGCCCAGGCCTTCTGTCTCCGAATCTTACCTCGAGAAAGATTTGGCGACATGCTCTCACGTCTATCTCCGATGTGATCGAGTCCGCCGGCCCCTGGAACCACCCTACGATGGCCCCTTCCGAGTTATCTCTCGTGGGACGAAGAACTTCCGCATCCAAAGCGGCACTCGCGAGGAGGTCGTGAGCGTGGACCGTCTCAAAGCTGCCGTCCCGGACACTCCTCCGGATGAGCCCTGTGGTCCCCTACCCCCTGCTCCGCCTCCCCGACCCTCTATTCCACCGTCCCGTATACTTCCTTTGCCCCCATGTCCACAACCCACAACTGCAACTACTCCTTCATCAACCAACAACACTGTAACCGCGAGCCATACTCACTCTACTCCTGTGCCCCCTGTATATATCACCCGTAGTGGACGCCATGTTCACTTTCCTGACCGTTTCGTTACTCATGTTTTTTTAGACATCAACAGTTCCTTCGGTATCGCTACGCGCCACCTTCGGTCTAGCCGGGGGGTACTGTAGCAGTTCGCGTCTCCTCGCTTTCCGTCTTTGTCACGCTGCCCTCCTGTCCGCCTCACACTCCTTGTCGATGCGTTGATGGGATGCGCGAGTGCTCGAAGCCAATCAACGCTGCCCCCACTCTGATTGGCTGGCGAGATTGAGACAACGAAGGGCGCACACACGCGCACAACAACTCCTCGAAGGCGGACACAGACAACAGCTTGCTTGGAGCGCGCTTGCGGCGATTGCCCACTCAGCCTTTGTGTACACGCTTTCCAAGCAGTAAAGTTTGTCCAACTCAAACTGTCTTCCCTGACTTTTGATTGGGAATCTTTATCTTGTCGACCGCACAACCTTCGACAGCCCGTCGGATTTCCAAAACCAACCAAGCGTTTGGACGTCTGCAAAACACAGTTTGCAATCGACCCGATCTCCACGTCATCATAAAACTGACAATGTAAAAAGCGGCAATCCCGACGACATTGCTGTATTGAGCAGAGACTTGGACGGTATGCAAGAAGCAGGCACAACGATTCAAGCATGTACACTTCAGCTGTCTCCGACGAATGTTGCAGCTGAGGTGGCAGGACCGGATCCCGGACACGGATGTACGGAAACGGACGGGAATCCTTAGTACCCACGCCATGCTGAGACAACTGCAATTGCGCTGGAGTGGCCACCTCGTACGCATAACCAACGAGTGGCTACCCAAACGCCTCTTCCATTGAGATATCGCCACGGGTTTCCGCCGATAAGGTCAAGTCCGGCGCTACAAGAATACCCCGAAGACCTCCCTTAAGCGCCTGCGAATCAACTCAGCCAACTGAGAAGACCGCGCTGTGGAGGGCGGTAAAGACCGGTGAGACAGTCAAGGAAGCCAACCGCACCACCGTCGTCAAAGCCAAACGCAAGGCCCGCAAATCGCAATTGCGTCCACCTTTCAGCTCTAAGCATCAACTGCTCCCGACCTGCCCACGATGTCAACGGACGTTTCGGTCACCAATCATACTTGTTGGACCCCTTCGTACCCACTTCAGCACACAGCCGACATCAGCCGGTGTCCCCCGTCCACCTCTGCCTTGCTCTCCAAGTTAAAAATCAACATTGACCGCACTCCTAGACCCTCACTGCCATCTGCCTCCTCCTTCTCCACCGCGTCAACATCCGCTGCGGCAAGCCTGCACATACCACCACTGCGCACAATCCGTACACACTAACAAACATAAACCTCCCCACTGTCAACGCCAGCGATGTGGACTCGGTCCATACCTGCCCTCATTGCGACCGCACCTTTATCTCACGCACCGGCAATAGTCGGTCACTTGCGGATCAATCACAAAGATACTGACGAGCCAGTGCCTAGAGCACCAACCTACACTCACCGCATTCGCCTCCACTGTACACATTTCCCCCGCACGTTCGCTCACTGCATGGGCCTATTCGGTCACACGCGTATCCACGAGAGCGGGATTGACCGCAGTCTCAACACGCATTGCACCTTTTGCCCATCCAACATGCCTAGCTGAGCTCCCACCCCGCCGCCCAACACGCTCAGCACCTCTTGCGCAGACACCGTGCCAAACCCAGCACACATCCCATTGCCCAGCACGTCCACCACCAGCAGCTCCACCACTGTCACCATTACTGAAACCGATTCTGACACCACCGAAGTTTCCTGTCCAAACCGTCCCGTTCATTCACCTTAAAAATCAGCCTGGTCAGTCACTTGCAAATCCATCGCACAGAGACTGGCGAACCAGTACCTGGAGCACCACCATATACCTCGACTACCCTCACTGCACCCGCACATTTACCCATAGCATGGGCCTGCCAGGCCACCTGCGCATTCAAGAAAGCCTGTAGTAGACGACCGCGGACTACACCACACCATAACATCTACCCCCACCTAAACCACACAACATCATCCACCACAAGCATCCAATTATCACCTATCACGCAATTGGGAAGTGTGCGTCTCGGCTCCGTCTCTACGCTGCTTTTTGCCGCATGTGAGATTCGAATCTAATACTATCACGGGGCATCAAGCACCGTGGCTTGGAAGGTTGCCGACAGACGCCCCAGCTCAGTCCACACTGTCTGCCCAGTTGTCTGAGTGTTCGTGTGGAGTGGCAGACTGGTGGACCGAGAGCCAGTCTGAAGCGGCTCCTTCTTAACGTAACCTATGGCACTCTCACGAATGTGAGATATACAGCCCCCGTTGTGTGAAATCCTGGTGCTTGTGTTTGGGAGCCAGGCCGTGCATGTGGCGCGCGCAGACAAGGTCACTGGATATGTCGGCCACCGCGGCCACCCCCGCACATGCCAACTGATCGGTTCGAATGGTGACTGGGACCTGGAAATGGGAAGTGAGAGTGAGGTCGACGACTCAGCGAATTCCCCTCGCTATCAACAATCTGACGCGCTTGAAGCTACCACGTTGCCTTAATAGCCGTTGCTTCGAAACTTGCCAATTGACGGGATAACTTGGACCTCGTAGTCAGTCTAGTGTTGTGTGTTTGTGTGAGACGGCCGACTGGTGGTCTAAGAGTTCGGCAGCAGTGACTTCCTCTCAATGTGGCCTTTATGCCACTTCCACTTCGTGGAATCCGAGCAACGTGTGACGGCACACCTAGGTGCGAGCTTGGCGCGCCAGCCCCTTCTATTTTTGCTGGTTAAATCCTGGTCATTTAATATTTGGACCAGGGGATGTGAAGCGGAGCGCCAAGGTGCGGGATCGGCCGTGTCATCCACCTGTGCCCGCTCCCCCCTCCGGTCTATTTGACTCTGTCTTGACACCGGGTCCAGGGAGGAGAAGAGAAAAGAGTGCGCTAGATGCTACACAAGTCTACATTCTTTATAAACTAAATCACGCGCATGTCACCGTGCCTGCTTCACCTTACTGTGGAACACACGGTAGACATAAGCGGATGCGATGGTCTAACCGTCAGTGCCTCTCGGTTTATGACTGAGTGGGTGCCCGACCTTTGAAGGGTTATGGCCCAGGCTAGATCAGGGTTGCGTCTCACTTTGCTTGCTTTGAAGACAGTGTACGCGCATGACAAGAACCGACCATGGATAGCGGGTTTTGAACAACTCCAAGCTTCTGTACAGTTCTTTTCTCGTCTAAAACGTGAATGGGCCACATGACCCATTGTTACAAGGACGACATAAGAGGGTAAGTACTGAAATTAAAGGAAGACTGGGTTTACTATCAATGTGGCTATTGAAGAAGGAGACACGATCGCCGGGACAAGAGGTTTATTTGCCTGACGTTTCGGATTCCTACTCGAATCCATCATCAGAGACAAAAGAGCAGAAACGGGTGGTTGTTGCACAACACCCGTTTCTGCTCTTTTGTCTCTGATGATGGATTCGAGTAGGAATCCGAAACGTCAGGCGAATAAAGCTCTTGTCCCGGCGATCGTGTCTCCTTCTTCAAGACTACTTCCTGGGACTCGGCTCTTCGCTTCTATTGGCAATGTGACTATTGGGTGACTTTCAATGTACTATAATTATACTGGCGTAGGCAGATTTATTTATTTAACTAGTGGTAATCTTGGTGGCCACTGTCTATGTGCCGGAACAAGTGTTAATAAATACAAGTGACATTTTAACTCCTATGCGTGCTGCTTTTCTGAAAGTTGCGTGCCGTCTTTTTCGGTCAGCGTGCGAAAGTGCTAACTTATGGAAGCCAATTAAACTGCTAACTTTCCCTGATACGCGATTATGTGGTTCGGCTAAATTTGGATGTGACCAGGTGGACATGGAGTAACATAACGACTGTTTGATGAAATTCAAGATCACGTAGAAGGTGTTTACACAATACGCGAAGTTCATTCAGAGACAGTCCTACTTTTGGATAAGGAAACTGAGCAGGACTGCAACGCTATCGGAGGGCTCTTTAGAACTGTGGAGGCGCGAATTTTCACGCTAACAGCAATGATGGTTTAAGTTAAGGAAATGCTGATTACAGGAGAGTGAACTTACCTAAAATCTAGTAGAACTACCTTTCTTATTTTAGGCGAATAGAAGCAGACACAGTAATTGTGAGTAGGAACTCGATCAACTTCACCGCATTTTCATTCGAACTTCTGATCCACCATGCAAGTAAACAGGAGCCGCCGAGTGGCCGCAGACGGCCTTGAAATAGTAGACCAAAAACAGGCCAAGCTTTGTCCAGTTTTTTTTGTGTGTCAGTGCCATAACAAACGGGATCTCGCATTTACCAAGACAAGATTCGAGTCCCCTGTAAGAAACTCAGTGTTGACTTGAAAACGCGCTTCTTTCTAACGTCAGGTGGCAAAGTCATAAGTGAATTTGCGGTTCAAGTAAACCCATTCTAACAGGTCACTGTCATTACCAAGAACAAACTTTTCTCACCCATACATGTTTCCATCCCCCCCCACTGGGCAAAATCTTTGCGTGTTATGCATTAGGCTTGCTCGAACACACTTTGCATACTGTTCGTTAGCGTTTTCTCTAGATCTCTTACATAAAATGTAAATTTTGAAAGTTAGTAACCCAGCCACTGAGTTTGTTATTTTTATTTATAATCTTAACCAACAGAAAAGGTAGAATAAATTCACACTCCTCACGTTATAGTACAGGCAGCGATTCGCCAAACTTGCAATGAACTAAGGCAATCAGTTAGTTAGGTGATGTGGAAAAGTATTCGTTTTTCCTTCTTGCCATGCTTACAAAATTTACGAGCACCTCTGAAAGCTGATCAAACCTCGAAGTAACCCGTCAGTTAGACAAATGCGTTTTTCGTGGCCCATCCTTAAACGCCATAACAGACCACCTGAGGAAGTTCCTCTAGCCTGAAGCATTCAATTTAGCTAAAAAGCGTCTTAGCTCATTGATCCAGATGAGGCAAGTAATCGAGATATGTGAAAACTTGACCTTAGGTAATAACCATTCTGTATGTTCGCAACCTAAGTTCACTATTACCACCGTGGCCGCGTACGCCACTTCCCCGCTGTTTGTATGTGAGTTCTGTCATTATGCATAAGTAAATGTTCGTCTTTCAGAAGACTTTCATAACTGACACATGTTTTTGTAACATTTCCACGTTTTAACTCTCTTTTCCGTGTTAATGTCCTGTATTTACGCAATTTTTTTCATAATTTACCATCTAATTCTATTGTCAAAATCTCAGTTTTCCTCCCTTTAGTTCTCAACTGCTCGCGGTGCAAGTGCTGACGCTACTGTTCCATCGTTTTTAGCTGCTGTAGGCTGCCCTTCTGTAAGGTGCGATGTCCCCTAAAACTCACTTCTTATATTGCACTGAGCGCTCTACTGTTTGGCATGCCTTTAATGCTTGTACCTGTTTTCTCAAGTCGGAAATTGCCGGATAATCCCTACACATTTAAATCTGACGTATTAACTGACTGGTCGGAAGTAGAATATTCTTTGAAGTAGAGTTTTGGTTGAAGCTTGTCAACCCATAAATACTGCGGAGACTTTTTACAAGGCTGCACTGAAGTGTGTAGGAAAAATGCACGATGTGTAGGGTTAGAGAGTAAGGTGAGGAATACTTGCACCATTGCAAGTATGGTAAAAGCATAGCAAAGGGCCCCAGCAAACAACGCTTAATATCAGAACCGGAAGCATCTGATGAGCGATTTGAAATTTTAATGTGAATACAGACGGTCTAGCAAACCTGCCGAAAACGTGCACAGGCCAAAAATGGGTATGAAAAAGGGGAAACAGTACAGATAATGTGTAGAACTGCTTTTGTTTGTAAGGATGCGAAGTAAGTGCGGCAGTCGGCTCCCAGGATCTCTGCCGCTTTGTCACGCTGCCCTTCTGTTCGCCTCACCCTGTCGATTCGCTGCTGGGATCGCGAGGGCTCGAAGCCAATCAATCCTGCTCATTCGCTGACTGACTGTAGGCGGACACAACTCGGGCAGAGCCAAGGCCCACATGTGCTGTGGGCCAAGAACCTCAGCAGTGGACAATGACGCGACAGATCGATCGTCGTTGCCGACTATATCCACCGTGTGCTTCACACCAAGGTGAAGCAGACACGGTGACTTGTGCGTGAATCAGTTTTATAGTAAACGTATACTTGTACAGCATCTACTGCACTCTCTCCCCCTCCTCTCCTACCTGGACCGGGTGTCGAGACAGAGTCAAGGAGACCGGAGACGGAGGAGGGCACCGGTGGATGGCGCGGTCAAGCCCGCACTTTGGCGTTACACTCCAGCAAATAGACAGATTTTTGACCAGCAACAACCATGGGGGGCGGAAGGGGTCCCAATGTGCGCGACGTCAGTCGGCAACCGGGCCCGTCACCGCATCCCGAAATATTGACATTTGTAATGGTGCGCAATCCGATAACGCCTGCCGGAATCCGATATGGCCTCCGTGTTAATCCAGCGCATCTACCTTGTGGTCCGTTTTGGGTGCGTGGACACTGACTCATACACATCTGAAGAAACAGCTGACGGCAAATGCTTGCTGAGCCTCCTGTACGATCTTTGGTAGCAGTAAAGCTTGTCCAACCCAATCCGACCTCCCTAGCTTGTGACTGAGGAATCTTCGTGCTGTCGACCACTGGGAAGTCTCGCATCCGCTCTCCGATTCGACAGAGGCACCTGATGTATATGCAGCTGTAATTAGGGTTAAAGAGTGATGTTTGTCGCTGCTTCCGGACTGTTGGGTACATCAAGGAAGTTATTTACCATCAACGGGTTTTCCTTTCCTCGGCTATATTGACTTTTAGATGAAAGAAAGATTTTCGGGAATACGAAACACGTACGTGAGGTGGCTGCCCAAACGCAACATCTGTCAGTGAGATACTGCATGAACGTTTTCTGTTTGGGTCGTGAGTGCGCACATGACTTATGTCGTTTACAGCGGTCCCACGGAGTTGGAGAGTATGGCCGTGTTTTGGGGAGGATTGACCTGTACATCATTAAGTCTAGAACTTATATTGTAGGTTTGCATAAAACCGGTACAAACCCTTGCTGTGCAAGAGTATGGTAGATTACTCCTTTCTAGGCCAACTTCACTCGATACGTTTAGAAGAGACCGATTAAATTTTTATGCTGGAGACCCGAAAGTTCACAAAACCTAGACGTGATGAACTATGTGTAGGGCCTACGCATGTGAGCAGCATGCAAATTACGGTCGAAAATCGGTTGGTGAGACGTCGCGCAACTTTTTTTCGGGAATGTCATAAAAAGTTCTCTTCTTGGAGAAGAGATCTTAGCATTGTGGCGGTCAAGGATATGAGATCAACTTAAACCACGAACAATAATTTGGTTTCGTCTTATGTCAGAATTGAGGGAGCTGTGAGGACTAGTTTATTCTGTACACAGGGGGGGTGTAGGGGTGTCAGCAGTGGGTTCACGTAATGGTCGTGGTGGTCGCTCACTTGCTTGCAGGTGAGACTGCACCTAGCGTCCACTTGCTGGCACTCAACTCTCACATGTGGATCCACGTAGCTGGACTCTGCTCAGCGGCCACACCCCGGGCAACCGTCTCGACCGGCGGGCTAAACCAGGTGAGGGGGCCCTGTGCGCTGTGCCGTGTGCACAGGGTTTGCGGATTCCGCTGGATGGAAGGTCGGATGGAACCTTGCGTCGGCACCGTCGTGGCGTGGTTCGTCTCTGCACGCCGCTCGACAGCCGGTGACGGGATTGATCTCCACATCGACATCGCCTTGACGCGCCCACCTACACCGTCGGAGACCGCGGCTTACGGCGAAGTCGAGTCGCTCTCCACTACAACCCGAAGTCGTGGTCCCATAGTGGAGTTCGGCCGTGCCACAACGGCATATGGCAGCCCTATTCAGGGATGGCACTGCTAGCCCCCACGAGGGGAAGGGCCTAGAAAAGGTGGCCTAAACATTGTTGGGTACCACGCCGTCTCCAGGCTAGCCAGGGCCGCAGACGTCTTATCATGGTCGAAACAATCAAAATCGAAACAACAACAATACCAATAACAACAACAACAACCATACTCATTCTCCTCATCCTACCTCTTCTTCCTCTTCCTCTGCCTATTCTTCTGCCTATTCTTCGCCTCCGTCACCTTCTTCTCCATCTCCTTCCCGTCGCCCCACTCGTTGTCACCAGACTGGCAGGGTGAGCCCGCTCACTCTGGCAGCCTGGAATGTTCGTTCCCTTTTAGACAATCCGAGGAGCAACCGACCGAAACGGAGGACGGCGCTAGTGGCACGAGAACTGGCCCGCTACAAGGTGGACATCACCGCACTCAGCGAGACCCGTTTCTCCGAACAAGGCCAACTGGAGGAGGTAGGTGCCGGCTACACCTTCTTCTGGAGCGGTCGACCCAGGGCAGAGCGACGGGACGTGGGTGTCGCCTTCGCCATTCGGAACGACATCGTGGGACGACTGCCCTGTTTGCCGCAGGGCATCAACGATCGCCTGATGAGCCTCCGCTTGCCTCTCTGGGGAGGCAAATTTGCCACCATCATCAGCGCCTACGCTCCGACGATGACCAACCCCGACGCCATCAGAGACAAATTCTACGAGGACCTGCACGCCCTCTTGGCGACTGTGTCGAAGGTGGACAAGTTGATTGTCCTTGGTGACTTCAACGCCCGCGTCGGCACAGACCATACTGCCTGGAGAGGAGTGCTGGGTCCCCACGGTCTCCGCGACTCAAACGACAATGGTCTGCTGCTTCTCCGCACCTGCGCAGGACACCGCCTCATCCTGATGAACACGTTCTTCTGTCTGCCGGAGCGAGAGAAGGCCACCTGGAGGCATCCTCGGTCGCGCCAGTGGCACCTGCTGGACTATGTCCTCGTCCGGAGGCGAGATCAGCGGGACGTACTGGTGACGAAGGCGATCGCGGGTGTTGATGGGTGGACCGACCATCGCCTCGTCATCTCGAAGATGCGTATTCGCCAACAGCCTCGCAGGAGACCACAAGGTAAGCGACCCCCAGGTAAGCTGAATGTTGCCTTGTTGTCTTTGCCCGCTCACCACCTTCATTTCAGCAATGAGCTAGCTCAACGGCTAGACAACCTTCCTATCGCTGCCGACGCCGCCGCTGCCGAGAACGCCTCCGTGGAGAACCGCTGGTGTCATCTGCGAGACACGGTCCAGTCGACGGCGCTGGCCGTCCTCGGTTGCGCACGCCGGCAACACCAGGACTGGTTCGACGACAACGACGCCGCCATCAGAAATCTGCTAGCTGAGAAGAACCGCCTACACAAAGCCTACGTAGATCACCCCACTGATGCCACCAAAGCTGCCTTCTACCGCAGTCGCCGCCAACTTCAGCAACGACTGCGCGAGATGCAGGACGCCTGGACTGCTCGCAAAGCTGAGGAGATCCAAGGGTACGCGAACAGCAACGAATGGAAGAACTTCTTCTCTGCGATCAAAGCTGTCTACGGTCCGCCGACGAAGGGCACCGCTCCTCTCCTCAGCGCCGACGGCAACAGTCTCCTGACCGAGAAGACGCAAACCCTGCAGCGATGGGCCGAGCATTTCCGAGGCGTCCTCAACCGCCCCTCCGTCATCTCCGACGCCGCCATCGAGCGTTTGCCACAAGTGGAGACCAACGTGGACCTCGACCTCCCGCCATCTCTCCAGGAAACCATCAGGGCCGTGCAGCAGCTCTCCAGCGGGAAAGCACCCGGATCGGACGCGATCCCTGCTGAGGTCTACAAACAAGGAGGTCCCCAACTGATGGGTCATCTGACTGCGCTCTTCCAAGAGATGTGGCGTCAAGGTGAAGTCCCGCAAAATTTCAAAGACGCAACCATCGTGCATCTCTACAAGCGCAAAGGGAATCGCCAAGTCTGCGACAATCACCGCGGCATCTCCCTGCTGAACATCGCCGGGAAGATCTTCGCACGAATCCTCCTCAACCGCCTCAATAACCATCTGGAACAGGGCCTTCTGCCGGAAAGCCAATGCGGCTTTCGTCGTCATCGTGGGACCACGGATATGATCTTCGCCGCCCGTCAACTTCAGGAGAAGTGTCAGGAGATGCGGACCCACCTGTACTCTACCTTCGTGGATCTGACGAAAGCCTTCGACACGGTGAATCGTGATGGACTGTGGAAGATCGTGCAGAAATTCGGTTGTCCGGAGTGATTCACTCAGATGGTGCGTCAGCTGCACGACGGTATGATGGCGCGAGTCACGGACAACGGAGCTGTCTCAGAGGCATTCGCAGTGACCAATGGAGTGAAGCAGGGATGCGTGCTGGCACCAACCCTCTTCAGTCTTATGTTCTCTGCCATGCTGATGGACGCCTACCGCGACGAACGCCCCGGGATCCGCATCGCCTACAGGACGGACGGTCACCTCCTGAATCAACTGCGGATGCACTTCCAATCACGCGTATCCCCAACCACCGTTCACGAACTCCTCTTCGCCGACGACTGCGCCCTAAGCACCACCTCGGAAGAGGAGATGCAACGGAGCCTGGACCTGTTCTCCGCCGCCTGCGCGAACTTCGGTCTGGTCATTAACACGCAGAAGACGGTGGTGATGCACCAACCGCCACCCAACTCAGCCACAGCCCCCAACGCGCCGCCGCAAATCAGCGTGAGCGGAACCCAACTTCAAGTGGTGGAGAACTTCCCGTACCTGGGCAGTACTCTCCCCTGCAACACCAAGATCGACGACAAAGTCGCCAACAGGATCTCGAACGCCAGTCAAGCCTTCGGTCGCCTCCAAAGCACAGTTTGGAATCGCCACGGTCTTCAGCTGAGCACGAAGCTGAAGATGTACAAGGCCGTCATCCTGCCGACAATACTGTATGGAGCGGAGACTTGGACGGTGTACGCAAAGCAGGCACGTCGTCTGAACCACCTCCACCTCAGTTGTCTTCGTCGCATCCTGAGGCTGAACTGGCAGGATCGAATCCCTGACACTGATGTGCTGGAACGGAGGGGAATCCTCAGCAACTACGCCATACTGAGGCAAATTCAGCTGCGCTGGAGCGACCACCTGGTGCGCATGGACGACGAACGAATACCCAAACGACTCTTCTACGGAGACGTCGCGACGGGTTCTCGCCGTCAAGGAGGCCAGATTCGCCGTTACAAGGATACCCTGAAGTCCTCCCTGAAATGCCTGCAAATCAACTCCACCAACTGGGAGGAGCTCGCACTCGACCGACCGACTTGGAGGAGGACAGTGAAGACAGGCGCTGCGACCTACGAAGCCAACCGCATCGCTGCCGCCAAAGCGAAACGTGAAGCCCGCAAATCACAACTTCGCTCAGTAAGCAACGCCGCCGCACAACCGCTTCCAACGTGTCCTGGATGTCAACGGACATTCCGGGCTCGAATCGGACTTGTTGGACATCTTCGGATTAACTGCGCCTCTCAAACGGCACCAACCATCGTCCCCCCGCCTGCCTCTTCCTCCTCTTCTCCACCGCCAATTAACCCTGACAAATTTTCTGACCCACCACTTCCATCATCCTCCTCCTCCTCGCCCACTGCTCCAACGGCGGCCGCTCAGGCGACTGTCCCGCTGCCAGCAACCGACACTACCACCATCTCCCCCGACTCGAGGGATGAGGATCAGGACTACACCTGCCCTCACTGCGACCGTACCTTCACCTCACACATCGGCCTGGTCGGTCACTTGCGAATCCATCGCACAGAGACTGGCGAACCAGTGCGTGAAGCCCCAACCTACATCCACCGCACTCGCCTCCACTGCCCACACCGCACTCGCCTCCACTGCCCACACTGCCCTCGCACCTTCAGGCATCGCATGGGCCTTTTCGGCCACATGCGCATCCACGAGAGCGGCCTTGACCGCACTCCCGACACACCCACCACATCCACCGTGCACACCCCCACCCTCGTTCCATCCGTCCGCGCCACCACCACTACCACCGCCTCCTCTGTAGCTGACACTGACACCGCCGACTTCTCATGCCCACATTGTCCAGGCACATTCACCTCACGCATCGGCCTGGTCGGTCACTTGCGAATCCATCGCACAGAGACTGGCGAACCAGTGCCTGGAGCACCCACCTATACCCACCAAGCTCGTCTCAACTGCCTACACTGTCTTCGCACTTTCAGGCATCGCATGGGCCTATTCGGCCACATGCGCATCCACGACGACCTGCGGTAGACAACCGCCGGCCACACCACACATTCACTCACTCCCTACCTCCACCACCACCATCACCCCACCAGAAATCAACACTCACACACCTCATGCACCCAACTGCCACCTCCCACGCAAGTGGGAAGTCCACATCTCGACTCGGTCCCCATGCGGCTTCGGCTGCACGGGTGACTTGAGTCCGAGACTATCCCGACACGTCAAGCGTCGTGGATAGGAAGGTTGCTGATTGACGCCCGCTCTCGGTTCACGCAGTTCGTCGCGTTGTGTGTGTGTGTGCTGTGTGGAGTGGCGGACTGGTGGGCTGGGAACGGGCTGAAACAGCACCTTCCACGGCACTCTCACGCAAGTGAGAGACACGCCGTTCAACCCCCGTTGTGTGGAACCCTGGTGTTGTGTGTATGGGGGCCAGGTCGTGCCGTGGCGCGCGCAGTCATGGTCAGTCGACCATGACAGCCACTGCGCCCATTCCCCACTCCAGTCTGCTGACCGGCTCGGACAGCGGCTGGGGTGTGGGAAGGGAGAGTGAGGTCGACGACTCAGCGCACTTTCTCCTCGCTATAAACAATCTGACGCGCGTGAAGCTATCACGGTGCGCTAAAAGCCGTGGCTTGGAAGGTTGCCAACTGACGGGGTATCTTGGACCTCCTCCTTGACCGGAGGCGGTCTGAGAGTCAGGCTGCAATGGATTCTTTTTAAATGTGGCCTTTATGGCACTCCCATCACAGTGTGGGATCCGAGCCAGGCGTTGGCGGCACGCCCAGGTGCGGCTTCGTCCGTGCCAGCCTCCAAATCCCTCTTGTGTTGGTTGAAATCCTGGTTATTTGCTGTGTGGACTAGGGGGTGTGATGGAACGCCAAGGTGAGGATCCGTCCGAGCCATCCACCTGCGGCCTCTCTCGTCTCCGGTCTTCTTGACTCTGTCTTGACACCGGGCTCGGGCGAGGGAGGAGGAGAGAGTGTAGGTAGATGCTACGCAAGTCTACCGGCACTATAAACCCCTGCGTAAGTCACCGTCCTTGCTCCCATTGCTGCTGCAACTGTGGGGCACACGGTGGACATCATCGAAACCGATGGTCGAACTGTCTTTCTATACACAGGGCAGATTGCCGTAAGTTGGCTGTTTGCTTGCAACAGAGAAAAGCGTCCGTTCACGGAGAGCGTCAGTTGCGGTGTGTTGTTTACGCGGGAGTGGGTGTCTGGGTCAGCAGGAGGGGTGACTGGCTGAGTGTTGGTTGTGTGATTGGACCAATTAGGGGAGGAATGGAGGGCGCATACTCACAAGGCCTCACGGGAATCAAGCCAGAGCGTTCGACGTACGTTAGGTGATACTAGTTTGTGAGGGCAGCCGGGAGTCACTGCAGCTGGACAGGAGGGGCCCCAGTTCTAGCCGGTGTGGGTGGTCGTGTGTCAGCGGCCTGTCAGTGCTTGTCGCGGCCATCGACCGACAAAACGGAGCCGGAGAAAAGGGGGGCTGGAGCGGCTGCTACAAGCTGCATTAATAAGTCTAGATATGGATAGCCTACAATAAATTAAGACCATTATGCATTTGTTAGAAGAATAGGACATGGGAATAGGAACCCCCCCCCCCCCTCGGTAATGCAGGTGGCCTTGAGCTAAATCCCAAGAAGGGACGAGACTCAACCAAGCCGAGTCTCGGGCTGGACATGGATGGACAGACCAAGTATTCACACTGCGGCTCATTCTTTAATTTTGGAACGGATTTACATTTTTTGAAGAAGAAGAAGAAGAAGAAGAAGAAGAAGGGCTCACTGGTAGAGGTTTATTTAGATACTGACGTTTCGAAGAGCGTGGTCGGCTGTCCATTGTCAAAGCGTAAAATGCACTTAATCGAACAGAAAGCTCAAATGGCGTGTCACGTTGATTGGCCTCATGCTGTTCGATTTTTCTCTCTTCTCGCTGCCTCGGCCTCTCGTGGAATGGTTGACGGCGTTTTGTCTGCTTGCTTTGTGAGTCATCACTCCGTCAGGTATTCACTCTGCGGCTCATTCTTTCATTTTGCCTAGGCTACCAGTAACCGACGGTCGTATACTTCGTTGACCTTGCAGTGCTGAATAAGGAGGAGTACCGACAAGGACAAGGGAGATTTAAATGGTCATTGCTGGTTTAGTAGCCATTGTCAGCCAGCCTGACCCCAACCCAGGCTTTCAGCACCTGACCTTCAAACCCCCGTTCTTTGGTTATCGACGGTTATTAATCTAGTCGGTGAGCTTTCTTCCACCACGGTTAATATTCCCGATCAAAACCGACAGGACAACGACACCACGGCTCAATGGTAGAGCCGAGGACCAAAGAACCCGGTCCTGTAAACCTGGATCCTCGTAAGGCTGGTTGACGATGGCCAATAAGCCGACAATGGCCTTTGCCGTTAATCCTCCTACATAATTACCTGTACTGGAAGGCGGGCATCCCAATAGATATAATTTGAAGATGGTATGTTCTTTGGGAAAAGTAAGAACTTTATTAGTAATTTTTCGAAACTGGTTCCCCAGCTCGTCGTCAGACAACTGGGTTATGTTCAAAAGCTGTTAACTATCTAAACCGCAGCGAACAAGTGATTCCGTGGTTGGCCGAAGTCTGCGCCAATGCGCGTCAATGATACTTCGTCATTCCCTCGGCATTGGCTGTCGCTGTGCGATCTCCGGGGTCTCTAGATTGGACTGCAGGGCGCAACGGCACAATTACTTCCCATAACCTGATCGGTGAGCATACTTTCACCACGGTGTTTGATATAAATCTGGCTCCGTTTTAGGGAAGTTGGAGTTTTTTCTGAATATACACACACGTTAATATCAGGCAAGAAATTGATGAGATATCATTAGTCAAGAATAGCCATCGCTGTGGACTGGTGATAGCGACGTCCATACAAATATTTTCCCCTATATGTTGACATTCTTCATTGTACATGCAATGCATGGGTGAATATTCACACTATGCTAGAAAATGTGCGCAATAATAATAAAATCGACACTCTTCCTTCGGTGACATTGGTCGATAAAAGTGGCCAACCATTTGAGTAGCCCGGTTCCAAAATTACAGTTAATCAGAAAAAGGGTATCGTAATACCGGGTACTATACACGCGGGATACATGTGTACCAGCCCACCGCACACTGAATAATTAATAAACTCCAGATAAAGTGCATAGTTGAGTAAGAAAGTTTACTACAATACAGTAGTAACAGCAATATGGTCTGCCAGTGTACAATACGTTACACAAGTCAACCGCCCTGTGCAGTCTATAGCCCATTTTACCTTCTATGACATCGTTTCCTGGGAGCTGATTGAAGTTCCTTCCGTAATTCGGCCTTCATTTATACCAAACCCTGGGCGTGGGCCGATATTCGGTCTCAAAAGGGATTCCACAGTTTGTGAAAAAAGCGTTCTCAATAATTGAAATGCGAGTGTACGCTGAGCTCTTGATGTCCTCAGGTTTTATTGTGTCTGAGAGGCGCCATCCGAGGTCCCAGGCGGTGGTTTCTTTGACGGGATACTTCACTTCCGGTGACACTTTGTTACGAAGTTTCAGATAGAGGTGCCTATTCGAAATCAACCAAAGTCTAAAATGATCTCTGTTGGTTTGCAAGATGAAACTCGTTAATTAACCAGAATACCGTTAAAAAGATAAATTAGGAAGACGATGTTGGCGGTAAACAAGCTACCGACAGTTGCTTCCTGAGAATTTACGATTTCCCGTTTTGAAAAAGACCCAATAATAATCATAAATGCAAGAGTTTGTATCAGGGAGAAACTCGCCGCTCGTGGATAAAACGATGTGTAAATAATTTCTGACCCACAACAGCTCTCGATAGGCAAAAACTACTAACATGCGATAAGTAAATCTCATATTTCATTCGTTTGTGTTTCCGCTGACTCACCTGCCCTCGTAATCATGCGAAACACCATTGTACAGCGTACTCCTGGTCTTCGGGGAGGCAGGTCTCATATCCAGTTCGAAGTCAATCTCTTCCCTCCTCATCATTGCCTCCTCTCTAGCCAGGCGTTCTGCCTCAATGCGACGTTGCCGTTCTTCAGCTTCCTTGGCCAGTTTTTGACACCAGGCACTCTTCGATGCCAGCGTTCCCAACCGCTTTCTAAAGAGTGCCGAGGCCGTGCCCTGGACGTCATTAGACATAATCTTTTCTTTATTCTTGACAAAAAACGAGAGTTGGGAATCGTCCACCTTGCGAATAGCGTCCTTGAGAAATTCGGTTCGCTGCACTCCATCATCCGGCGGTTTTTCCATTATCACCCGTCCGCTGTGTGGCTGTTTTTCTCTCGCTCAGGGCTTGTGATATCGATTGGCGCCTGTGTTTTTCAAATTCTGATCCATAGACTTAAGTAGGTCGGAGAAGACTGTTTCTCCTTAATTTTGTAGTCTTTTCACCTGTATCGGCGAAATACGCATGTATGGGCTTTTGGCTAGTACCTGTGCTGTTAGTATGGTGTCACCTTACCCTAGAGGACAAAACGTTCCGTTACAAAAATACGATGTTTGATCTCAGGCAGGACCCCGGAACATGACTTGATGCATAGAAGTATAAGAAACACGGTAGGAAAAGTAACTATTTTTACGTGAGAAGGGTATCCGAAAAAATTCTCATTAATGTTTGTAAAAACAGACAAATATCTAAAATTTCTAAAATGGGAGGGAGAGGTGTTAAGGTTTTCGGTCGAGCGACTACTAAAAAAGACCTAGTAGAGAACAAGGGTTAGCTTCCAGACGTGGCTGTCCTTTGCAAGGTTCTACTGTTCTTAGCGACTTTTTGGCACAGGACGTTGAACCTTGCTGAGCCGCAGAACGAACGGTTTGGATGTTAAAAAATCCTGTTGCGGATATCAACAGTGTTTCCAGAAGTCTCCAGTTCACTCATGCCATATGTCACGCGATCCCAACTTTTGTTGTTATTTAAGGGGTATACCCCGGACAACATGAGTTCGGCTTCTGGAAATAATATTCCGTTAGATAATTTTGTAGGTAGAGGGGAGGGTCATTTCTATTTTTTGTAAGCATGAGCCTTTTTCGAAGCAAAGGCTAAGAAAACATTAGTAGGTATTTTGGTTTATGCATAAAGGTGGATTGTAAATCGGAACTATAACTATCGTACTAAATTTTTCGATGTATTCCTTCATTCCTTATCATCAGAAATCTCACTTTTACCTGAAAGAAGACTGATGCTCACTTCATTTAGAAGAGTTGTCAACTGGATCCGAATAAGTCGATTTAGACGCCTACCTCAAGACATTTAAGATTTATTTTCGCATGATCATATTCGTTCATTTTCAACTGTTGAAGATAAGGCAGTTCGTTAAAAATAAGACGCTGGATGGTTCGTTGCCCCCAACATGACAGAGTCAAATACTCACCTCCATACAGGAGACGTTTTGACGCCAAAATATGACTGATATATACTGATAGGAAACTTTCGCTAGCGACTATTGCTAGCGCTTCAATGGTTTGTTCCTTTCGCAACACATTAAAACGTGGAGCAAGTAGAAATCGGGCGCCGAGCATCGCTATAATTGGGGTCACTACACTCTTGCTCTTGTTTGCATGTTGACTTCGTTGGCTTCAAACCAAGTGGGCGAGTGTGCGTACCCAGCCTGGGTGTATAGGATATTGGGATGGGGGGCGCAACTTTCAGGAGTGACAGGTCGCTCCACCCTCCTCACTGCGCCCGGTGGTTACGCCGCTCGACCCCTACCTGACGCCAAACTTTTAATTCATGCTCATCGAGACTGTGCTTCACGCAGCGACCTGCCCCCACTAATCGGTTTTATGAGGACAGCTGTGGGGCTTAGCCATGTGTTAAGTTCGATGCAGTCAGTTGGGAGAAATAAGTCCTGTCGCGACATACCTAGACTAAGCCCCTATGCAAAATTGACTCCAGCTCCCTACCTTCTACTTTTCACCCTTCCAGGTATCGCAGTTAAGCACAGGAGATGATATGCATTTGCATAAGAGGCCCAGTCCAATTCGAAGGTTTTCCCAATAGACCAAAAAAGTGATTCGCAAAATCAACAGCTGTCTGAGATGTTTAAACAGACCTACTAAGGGAGGCACTGCTTGTTTCCTCACGCGGAAGGGAACAAAAAACTGACCTCGAACAAATGCCGGTGATCACGTCGTCTGCAGAGTGACAGTGACTCGTGGCAGCCAAACACGTGGTCGAATTAACAATCGCCGTATCCACCTGCCAGTGTGACCTCGTTCATTCTGGCCAACTGGGGTGTCCGTTTTCTTCTAGATCATTGAGTGATCAAATGCGCAGCTAGAAGGGTCGCTCTGGGTGCCTCAGGACTGGTTCATTACATGATGTGGCAGTCACCGCAGTGGGCGAGACCCCCTTCTTGACACAAAATTCGGCCAGAGAAGGTCGCACGAGGTCGCACTTTTCTCCGGAATACCCATCCTATGGATAGACGTCGTGGTGTTTGTCACCTTTGTCAGCAAAAATAATCTTGACAAGAAGTTTCTTTGTACAGGGCTTTTGGCCAGTGCCTGTGCTGTTAGTATGGTATCACCTTACACTACAGGCAATCATCCCAATGTGGCTTTTATTCAGACAGGAGAAATCTATCAACATAATCAGCTCCTACACCCACTAGAGCGACAAACACGACTGATGCAAAAGAGAGGTCCTAGGAGTACGCCCCTCTCGCATGTGTACAGGAGGCGCAAAAATTCCTTGTCCTTGGTGAAGTAAACAACTAAATAGGTAGAGACCACCCCACCAGGAACGGGGGTACTTAATCGTAATGGAGTAGACCTCCGTAACAACTTTTGTAGAGGTCCCGTGATAAACACAACCTACGCGTTGACAACGACGTCTTTTGGCTTCCAAAATCTCAGAAAGATGACATGGGCGCACACGATCGCGCACTAATTAGCTGCTGAACTATATACTCGTCTGGAGAGATATCACCGTGACATGCTCCTGACAATGGTAGACAAATGACCGCCAGCTTGTTTCGAAAGCGAGGTTGGTAAAACCCAAACACAAGAACATCCCCAGAGGGGGAAGGCGCCAACAAACCCGGGCCGACAACACTAAATCTTGCTGACCGAAAACGGAACTCTCCAACAAAATCAACATCGACCTGGACTATATCCACACCTCGGAGGCTGGAAGAGGCCGCGTGATGTCCTTGCCCTTACTGTTATTGAATTCATTGGATCTCGACGTCGTAAATACCAGGACTGGTTCGATGACAAGCATTATGAAATTCTGTGACAGACTCCTCAGTAACGCCGAGGAGCAGTCTGTAAGTGTTTCATGAGGATTACAATAGCGCAATTACATAAATTCAGGGTTTTATGAAAAAAGCCTATAAAATTTGGTTTTCAGTTCAAACAAGCAAGCAAGTCATTTTTCACTAAGACGATGTTGTTGGTTCCCGAAATTGTGGCGTTGGTGGAACGAAGTAAGAATAATAGATGTAATGGACAAATTCGCTGAGTTCCTTGTTAATTGGTGTCACCGATGAGCGCCAACTAAGTTTCAGGTCAACGGTGGACTGTAGCAGTTCGCGCCTCCTCACCCTCCGCCTTTGTCATGCTGCCGTCCTGTCCGCCTCACACTCCGTGTCGATACGCTGCAGGGACGCGCGAGTGCTCGAAGCCAATCAACGCTGTCCCCACTCTGATTGGCTGGCGACGTGGAGACAACGAAGGGCGCACACACGCGCTGACACAACACCTCGAAGGCGGACACAGCTGAAACAGGTAAAGAATCCGGTTCTTTACACAGAATATCCTATTGGAGATGCTAGCACAAGCTGGCTGATGATCCTAGCGTTACGCGTGCTCGATTAATCACACGTGATACTTACCTCTCTCTCTCTCTCTCTCTCTCTCTCTCTCTCTCTCTCTCTCTCTCTCTCTCTCTCTCTCTCTCTCTCTCTCTCTCTCTCTCTCTCTTCACGATTCCTGATCCCAACTAATCAAAACGTACGTTTACCTTGTCGTGATCTGGTGTTTGATAGTTCTAAGGTTCTCAAATCAAAAGTCAGATAAGACAGAGTTATTGGGCAGCTTTTACTGAGGCGAAAAAGCGTAAACACAGCCCAGTAGGCAGATGCATCAGGCGTTCTGACCAACGCAAGTGACAGTCGTTGAGGTTGTTAGTCCTGGCGATAAGCGCATGCATGTGCCTGGGCTTAGTCTACCTGCAGCCGATCAACGGACAACATATGGTGGATTGGCTTCGACCTCTCCCCACATAAGTGGCACGTCACAAGTGGTTTAAGCAATCGATTGACAAGGATGCGTTAAGCACGCTGAAGGCGGCACGGGCGAGTGACCGCGTTGGCGATCCCGGAGCATGCCGCCGCAAGCTCCTCCTCCTCCCCCCCCCTCCTCCTCCTCCTCCTCCTCCTTCTAACCATTGCCCGCTCTATTCTGGTATCCACTTACGAACAACTCTATTGTCGATACAGGCGAAACGCGGGCTCCTTGAAGCAGTCAAGAAGAAGGAGACGGGATCGCCAGAACAGCGTCCTCATTTCCCCTGAGGAACAAAATTAATATGAAATTTAGTCATATATGTCTATTACCCCTAAGTAATGTTAACCGAATTAACAAAGTTACGGGCCTGGTGATGGCTTTCTGGGAACACCCCTTCGCTCAACTCTTTTCTATCCAGCCATTAAACCGGGATTTTTTGAAGACTCGAATCCGCTATTGCATCTGTGCCGCGGGGGTCCGCGGACTCGTAGGCTAGCGGCATAGGAACTAATTTGGCCATCGTGACGAAGAAGTCCAGAGCATTGTACGTCAACCGAGCACTTTAATAAGTTCGTGTAATGCTGCAGTGATCGGACGAGGTTGCATTCATCCTATTCAGGCGTAAACTGAAACAGAGGTTTCAGGAGATGCAGATTTGCGGGCTGACTCAAATGACGAAGGCGATTCAAGGATACATCAGTCATTGCGCAATGAGGGGCTTCGTCGCGATCGTCTTGGTAGTCTGCGGTACCCAACCCACCACCACCACCACCACCACTGAGTCGCTGCTCAGTTTTGATGGGCATACCTAGTCCTCAGAAAGAACGCAGGCCCTGAAACGTTGGGTAGGATGCGTTCCAGACGTCCTTAATTGTCCATCTTCCCTCTACGAAGAAGTTATCGCATGACTTCCTCAAGCGGAAACTAAGGCTGTGTGCGACTGTTTGCACCTCCCATATGAGATAAGTGGAGTGGTGCAACATTTACCCAACAACGAATTCCCAGGACCTGATTCGATT